CGCTCTTCACCGAAAATGACCGCCTCAGTGGCCGGCGATTGAGAGTCCTGACGAACAACAGCCTCGAATTGGTGCTTCTGAAGCTGAAATCGATGAATTTGGACCGAGAATCACAGCGAAGCAACGCCTCTGTTCTACTACACGTCGCAGAGAATTGCGAAGCCGCCATTTTTCGAGCTCTCTCTCTCTTCTCTTCTTTCTCTCTCTAGATTTCTCTCTCTCTCTCTCTCTCTCTCTCTCTCTCAGATCACAGACTCGTAAGAGAAGTGTTTATAGTAACGACACAGAGTGAGAGTCTGAGATTTTTCTTATCTTTTTTCCACGGAGAGTTTAATTACTTCTATCATTATAAGTTGATTTATAAGTTGAGTCTAATCTTTAATTTAAAACCGTCCGAGATGAAAACGACGAAATCACGAGTACCCCACCTTAAATATTTTGTTGTGGAAGTTATATTTCCTGCATTCGAGTTCATGTGAATCTTGTGCACTTTTCATCTGGTGTTGAATACTTTTCTCACACGTCATATAAGGAGTAATCTAAATGCTGACTTGTCAGCTTTTTATTGGGTGATTCATGTTGACTTGAGTATTGAATTGGCATTGACTGCGTGTGATCCCTACAATCGTTTAATATTTTAATAAGTCCATCGGATCTTAGCTTCTATGCACACCGTCCACTCGCCAGCATTTTATTGGTTTAATAATGGGTGTGTTTAGAATTGGTTATTGTTTTTGAAAACGTTTTAGTACATTTTTGAGATATGAAAATGAAAATGATTTAAAAATTGTGTTTGTTTAGTAAATATTTTAAAAATAAAAATAAAAATAAAAAATAATAAAAATAATTTTTGTGAAAGAATTAAAAAACAGTTAAAAGTTATTTTTTTATTTTTATTTTTTAGTATTTATCAATAATATTATAATATATTAATAATTATAACTAAACGTGATTTTATTTTTTTATTACACTCAAAATAATCTTTTAAAAAATTAATCAAATATAATTTTAAAATTAATCTCAAAATAATTTTCAAAATAATCTCATTTTTATGTTTGTACGGAAAATAAAATCATTATGAAAATGTTATCAAATGGGCCCAATAAATTAAATTTTCTTCATTTTCTTTTTCTTTGCTAACTGGCACCAACGCCCTTGATTTTTGTCTACAAATCTCTTTGTACCCTTAAGTTAATTTTTTTGGCATTAAGAACCATGAATTATTTTTAATTTGGTATTTAACCCAAATGCAGTAAGGAAGTTAGTGATAAAAGGAAAAAGAAAATTAACTGGCACTAATACGACCTAAATTTTACCTGTCTGGTGTGTTATTCACTAATGTACCCCTTAAGATCTCCTCCACTACTATTAGTTAGAAGGGATTGAATGGGTAATTTATCGATTAAACTGATTGAAATAAAAAGAAAGTGATTAGTACTGCCAATCAATCCAGGATTAATTTCACAAACCTTCTGAATTTTACTTGAATTAATTTCACAAACGCTCTTTGAATTTTACTTTCAATCTCACTTTAGTCTTTAATTTTTAAAACTTCTCAAAACTCGTTCTTAATCTATCAATTTATTTTAATTTTTAGTCATTTACATCAATTAAGTATAAAAAGAGCATAGAACATGCATATGATATTGAAAGAATATAGTGTTTACTAATAAAACACGAAACACAAACATGATAATAACGTAAAAATGTAAAAGAACACTTTGCTAACATAATATTACTTACATTCTGTTTTGTTTTTAACACCTACCTAACTGATGAAAATGATTAAAACTATAACAATTTGATAGTTTGAGATGTTTTAAAAAATTATGGACTAAAGGGATTAACCGTAAAATTCAATGACTATTTATGGGATTTAACCCTATTATTTTAATATACTCATTCCTGTAAACTACTGATTTAAACCTTCCATTTTTTTCTCCAAACAAAACACATTCACACAAAAGTATTGCTTTTAAAAAGATGCATTCATTTTTGCACTTATGGTTCTGTTTAGTATTTAAACCTGCAATTCTAATTCTGTTAAAATATTTTTTTTAATAAAAATTTAAATTAAAAAAATTTTCGTCAATAGTTCTTATAAAAAAAATTCTCATTAAAAGTCAGAGTCACGTGAAGAAAGCATGTTATATATTTTTAATAATAGAAGACGTAATTAACACAGAATCAAACTGACCTCTAATAATGTTTATTCCAAAAGGGCACATCATACATTCGAAGAACAATACAAAAACCAAAGGGCGAAGAGCCACGTCCCATTATTTTTTCTGCAAAAAAGCATGTCTTCTTATGATGGTCGCATGGGCTCTCCACGAGACCAATGCATCACTGTCTCATAAAAACCGAAAAGCATTAAAAAGCCACAAACTTTACGCCATTGGAATCTTTGGATCATCAAACAAATCCATTTCCCCTTTTTTTTTTTTTTTTTTTTTTTTTTTGTTCTCGTCTGTCACTAATGTCCCTCGTCAAGCTCTATTATTTTATTCTCCTAGTCACTCTCGGACTTATTCCCCTCTTTACCCTCTAAACCCCGTAACCAAAAAAAAAAACCCTCTTCGAAGCTCATGGGTTCTCCCATGGCGGCTCACCACCACCACCACCACCACCTTCCTCCTACCTGTTGCACCTCCTGCTCTTTCAGCGATGGCTGTTCCTGCTCTAACTGCACCCGCAACCAAACCCACCATTGTTGCTCTCCACCATTATCTTCACCCCGCACAGATCCACTTCTCCAAGCCATCGCTTCCCAACTCCTCCAATCCACCTTCTCACCCAAGTTTCAACGCCCGAAGCCCCGATTCTGCCATCAAAAGGAATCGCCACATCAAGAAAACACCCATAACGTGATATCTTCTCTCGTTTCCCGCATCGAAGCCCTCGAAGCCTCTCTCAATCATTTCCCTCCGAATCGTTATCGCGGCGATTTTCCTCACTGTTCTCTTCGCGACGTGGCGGCTCGGGTTATCCAAACCCATTTCCGAGCTTTTCTCGTTCGCAGATCACGAACCCTTAGAGGGCTCAAGGATCTTGCTCTCCTCAAGTCCGCTTTCAATTTTCTCAAGTCTTCAGTTTCGAGCGAAACCCATTTTGATTTTGGTGTCGTTTCTCGGAAAGCCATGGATTTGCTTGTCAAGCTTGACTCTATTCAGGTAAACAAGTTATGGGTTTTTGTGGGTATTTGTCAATTTCTTTTAGATGTTTTTTTTTTTTCTTTTGATGTTTTTATTTTGTGGGTTTTTGTTTTAGGTCGATGATCCGATGGTGAGAGATGGGAAGAGGTCGATAAGCAGGGATTTGGTTCGGTTTTTGGATTTCATAGAAGGGGTTGCTGTGAAAAGGCACGAGCTTTCGTTGAAAGCCAGGAAGAACGTGAAGTTTGTTCCGAATGGTGAAAAATCTAGGGTTGTTTTGAGCAAAAAGAATAGGCATTTGGATGGGGGTCAAAAAGAAAGTTTGGGAAAGTTGAGGAAAAGAGTTGAAAAGATTCGTGCCTATACGAGGGTTTCTGAGAATGATGATGAAGATGTTGAACTTGAAGGATTTCAACATGTTAGTGATAATGATGAGGAAGAAGAAAATCCCATAATTGTAGTTAGAGAAAAGAATGGTCAAATTAGAAATGGGGTTTTGGTGAGGAGGTTGGTGGATCAACCTAAGGTGAAGAAAAGTGTGAGCTTTGCAGAGAATAAGAATGTTTTGAAGATCTTTAGCAACTCCAATGAGCAAGTTCCGAATGAGGACGGTTCTAGCTCTAGTACTACTTCAAGTGATGATCAGGGAGAGATTACAGAGAATACTGGTGATGAAGTTGAGGAGATTAAGACGTTTTCCCTTGGAGCTGAGGATGATGATGAGGAAGCTCGTGTTGTGAATAAAGCAACTTCTCAGAGAATTGGAAGTATTCCGAGGAGAGACGGTAGCTATGAAATCATCGACCGTGACGGGGAGTTTGTATTTTCCGCTCCTCTGCCTGTTCAAATGGAGGACAAAGCGGATTTGATTAAGAGGAGAAATGAGTTGAAGATTTTGAGATGAGGAGACGTAAATCTGAAAGTCTGGTTTTGTCAGCTCTTGCTTGCTAATCTGTTGTGGCTAAGCGGATAGGACTTAGTTCTGTGATTGTTGTATGAATTCTTCCACTAGTTCATTCTAATTCATTTCGATAGCTTTATCAATTTTGTGGTGTCTCTCGAGTCTTTTGACTGGAAAATGTAACTTGGTCCCTGGGATTTAAATTTTAATGTTTCCATGGAATGTGCGATTTAGCAAATTTTGTGTTTTCCAAATGCAGGAATGGGGATTTATTTGTATTCTATACTCCTACTTCTAGGAGATGGTGGACCGGTGACATTATATACTTTCATAGTTAGTGTTTGATGATTGTGTTTCGAAACATGCTGATCTCAAAATTGTTGAAAACTGGTTAGCAACTACTATAGAATTATCGGTGGATTTGATCAAACACTTGTTTACCATCTACTATAGAATTATCAGTGGATGTGGTAGGCATGAAATTCCAAGGAACTCCTGAAGAGTCCAAATTCTGCATTTGATCAAACACTTATTTACCATCTACTATAGAATTATCAGTGGATGTGGAACACTTGAGCAAATCGTAATGAGCTAATTTCAAATGAGGATGGTCCTAAGTGCGCGGATGCTGACAGTGCCACTTCAAATGACAGCAATGGAGAGCTTACAACCTTTGTGATAAAGTTAGACTAAGAAGAGAAGGTAGCTATGATATTAGAGGCCGTTATCAGGGCCATGATAATTGATGGGGAGTTTGTGTTCTCTGCTCCTTTGTCAGTTCGGACGATGGACAATTCTTTTTTTTTTTGACATGTAAATTATACTAACATGATATATATATATATATATATATAAATAGAAAATGCTATAGTGTTCTCTGCTCCTATGTCAGTTCGGACGATGGACAATTCTTTTTTTTTTTATATGTAAATTATACTAACATGATATATATATAAATAAAAATGATATAATAGAGTACACGTATCATAGAGTGACAAAAAAAGACAGAAAAAGTGATAAAAAAGTGATAGAAAAAGAGACGTTAGTATTCTGGTATTTTTTGAAGGACAAATCTGATTTGATGAAGGGAAGTAATGAGGTGAAGTTTTTTATAAGGACGGGTTTTTAGTCCTTGATGCTTTAGCGCTTTTGCTCCTTCAACGTTTATCGAATTAGCAGGCTACTTTCAAAAACTTTTAATTTTGACAACTTATCATTTAATTTTAGTAAGAGTTTTTGAGCGTTTTAATTTTTAAATCAATAAAAGCTATTAAAAATTGGAAGTAAATGTCCATGCACACTTGACAAGATATATTTTATATTTACTGAAAAAAAAAATCAATGCACTTATATTTTACAACAAAGGTGACTGGAATTCCCACCTTTAACAACTTCGGCTTAACTTGAATCTTGGTTATGATGCTGGAGCAAGAGAGAGTGAGAACGAAATAGAGAGGCAGAAATTGAAGGAATGGCAAGAGGTTTCGAGAGAGAATTTTAATATTTAATTGTCCGAAGTGAAAATTACAATTACTAGGTCTACTTATAGTTTAATAAAATCTAATAATAAATAGTACAAAACTCTTTACAACAAACTTAGACTTCAATTTTCCCACAAAAGAAGCAACTTGATAAAGATAGCCAAGAAGAAGAAGAAGAAGAAGACCTTACCACTATTTGAAACTTAAACCCGAATCCTTCAACCACAGACAAGAACGACTATCATGACCAGGGCAGTTGCAATTACTACACAAACCAACTCCACTAGAGGATTGCTTTGGCACATATTTAGACGTGTCATTGTCCTCACAAGTTTCTCTCTCTATATCTTTGTGGTTTTCAAGAGGGGTTGTAATTATCAGTGAACTATCTACTTGCCTTGCAATATGGTTGTTGTTATTCTCTCTCATGGCATTTTTCTTAGTTTCAACAATTTTAATCCTAGCTTCTCTCAAGGCACTTAGTGCTACCTTAAAAATATGGTCTGAAGTCATTCCTTCCTCTGCACATTTAATGGCTTCCTGGTACAAAATATTGTACTTCAACATCTTCCCCTTTTGATAATTAACCTGCTTATCAACACCGAAAAGATCGTCCGACATAGCCTCATCCTTGGCACTTCTTGTCCACCGCTTTAAGATGTATTTCTGTGGAAGTATAAACACATTTGTCGCTTTGAACACTGCAAGCACATGCCTGCATAAAATCCCTTCAAATTCGAACATTTTGCAGCTACAACAAGCGACTTGTTCATCAACATTAAGGTCCACAAAGTACAGTTTATGTTCTTCATCGAATCGAGCTACCTCATATTTTGTGGTCCTGTTGTCCTCCCTGATGGATTTGACAGAAAGCACAAGAGACTCGAAAACCTCATCCTGAAATATTGAGAACATCATTCTTGTGTACAGTTCCGCTGCTTGTTTTTCCACAGGTAGCGGCGTTTTCAGAACCGGTTTAGTATAGAATGTCTCAAACTCCGCCTTCGCTTCTTTCTCATACCGATCATTCAAAGCCTTTTCATATTGCTCCGCGAAATCTCGTAAGGTAGTCCCTGCATTCACATAGCCATCAAAGAGTGAGCTCACACTTCCACTTCTCTGGGCTGCATGCATGCCTGCAAAGAATGTGTCTCTTACAAGTGTGGGAACCCACAATTTGCGGTCAATGTAAAGTGATTGAAGCCAATCATTTCCTCTAAGATTGTACTTATCAAGAAGCCCCTGCCAAGAAGATTCAAATTCGTCTGGCGATTCGCTCCTATTGACAATTCTTTCGAACTCCACTTGAAAGGTTCTTGGGAGTGCACTGTATATCATTCCCAGTTCTTTTGGTATTTTGCTCATGATATGCCACTTGCAATATCTATGGCTTGAATGTGGAAAAACTTGTTGCACTGCTCTACTTATAGCCAAATCATAGTCGGTGACGATCAAACCCGGTTGTTGTCCAGACATCGCCTCAAGCCAAGTTGTGAAGAGCCAAATGAAAGTGGATTCACTCTCATCTGCAAGCAAAGCACAACCGAACAGCACAGATTGTTTGTGGTGGTTCACTCCAGTAAAAGGCGCAAACGGCATCTTATACTGATTCACTTGGTAACTAGTATCAAAGGCCACAACATCAGAGAAACAATTGTAGGCAATTCTTGATCTCGTTTCAACCCAAAACACACTACTTAGCCTATCTTCTACATCAACCTGAATAGCGTAGAAAAATGCGGGATCACTAGCTTGCATAACCTTAAAAAATCGGAGCAGACTTCGAGCATCAATCCCAAAAGTGCTCAACCGTCCTTTTCCAATATAATTAACACTACCCTCTACAGGAAAATGCATTTTGCCAAAACTGTTACCGCTAACTTCACCAAAATCTCTCAAAGAAATACTCAAACCCGAATCATTCAAACTTTTGTTTGGATCACATTCAGGCCTATGTGATCTAAGAAATTGCCTCATTGACGGAGTGACTAGCTCATGGCTGTGTCTCTTCTCTAGCTTTGCCACATACCACTTCCCATTCTCTCGTCTTCTCACCGTCATCAGCGCCTTGCAACCTTCCCTAGTGATAGGCCTAGCACGCCTCCTCTTAACGCCGTCCACCAAATCCACCTTCTTCCCTCTCTTCTCGCGACGGAATCCTTCTTTCGAGCAACAAAACTCCCGCGATATAATCGAATTGTCTCTCTTCGATCGGTAATAGGAGTTGACACGAATGCTGAAACCCGTCTGCTTGGCATAGGCTTTGTAGAAATTCCTGGCGTCATCTTCAGAGGGGAATTCCATGCCCAACGTGGGCTCCACTATAACCCCACCTGATAAACACATTGGAACTGCTTCAGCACCTTCTACTACACAATACTCCTCGACCTCGTCCTCCATGGACTCATAAGAACTTTCTATTTCTTTAGCTTCATCGGACTGTTGCTCCACTTCCATGAGTTTTGCAGTTGTTATACTCGTTCAAACCTTGAGAGAACAAAAACCAAAAAGTACCCTTTTGACTCTGAGAACTAAAAACTCAAACTAAAATGAATACCCTTTGATATTCTTGCGTATTGGTGTTTTTTTTTTTTTTTTTTTTTTTTTACGTTAATGTTCAACAAAATTATACAAACAGAGAAATATGAAAGGAACCCATATTGTCAAGCTAAGATTTTCAGGAGCAAAATTGAAGCTTTTGAAGTGGGAAAATATGAGGAAGTGAACTGTAAGAAATACGATAAATAACTAACTAAATGGTCGTTTAAGTATCGGTTTTAAGCATTACCTTATAAAAGTTTTTTGGTTCGACAATTTGAGAAGCCAAAACGCGCGCCGCCGCGGACGGGAGGATGTGGGAGGACGCCAATAACGATCTGCTTTCTCTTATAGATCAGAAGCACTCAAATATTAGCCGTTCGGTGAATTTTTATTCCGAGATCTACGGTTGATATTTTTCTGTTTTTTTATATGGTTTATAGGCTCAAATTACGCTCCAGAGTCTTTATACTCGGTGCTGAAAAATGATTTTTTATATTTATAATCTTATATTTTATAATCTCATTTATTTTACTGAAGTAAAATAAAATTAAATGAAAAAAAGGAAAATAGGTTAAGGCTTTAGATGAATTAAAATTAATAGGTCAATAGTTTATATAAGTTAATAAATAGGTTAAATTACTGTTTTCGTCCATAACTGGTCTGGTTATGAACCATAACTTAAAAGTTATTATTTATAATTGTCTATAACTTGTCTGACTATGAACCAAAACTTGACAAATTTATCCATAACTTATCTGGTTATGAACCATAACTTAACAAATTTATCCATAACTTATCTAATTATGAACCATAACTTAATAAATTATGACCTATTAATTTTTATAATTAAAAATTAACCTATATACTTTTTTAAGCTTTTTACTTTTTACTATTTCCCTAAAATTAAGGCTAAAGCTCGTGACCATTTGTGATTTGTGAGATTAACCCTGGACTATATGAAAGGAACTAAAGCCATCCGAGACCCAGAGAATAACCACATAGACGCGAAGCGGCGGAGGACTTGCAAGGCTCCAACTACGTTCACGTTTCTCTTCAGTCTTCACAACGTCTCTTTCTCTAATCGTAAGAACTCTCCATCTCTTGAGATTTGTATTGGAATATTCACTTGAAAACCCCCAATTTTCTTGGTTACGAATTAATCCTATAACATTTTCGTATTATTAATTATTTTTTATTATGTAATTAGAAACGTTTGAATTATTAATCGCGACTCACTGATGGCTATTTATTTATTTTTTAATATTTGTTTTATTCATTTATTATTATTTTTTTTAGGAAAGAGATTGTCACACGAATTAAGCCCTAAATTTTGGTTTCAGAATGGCTAGGAAGCAAGTAAAATTGAACAATGGAACAAAGAAAGATTGTGAACTGAACGCCATGGATGCGGATCGGTTTTCGGAATTACCTGATTATATAATCCATAAGATTCTTTCTTTCCTTCCCACCATTGATGCCGTTCGGATGAGCCTTCTTTCGAAGCGTTGGCGACGAATGTGGTACTCTTTACCTGCATTAAACTTTGACGATTCCGCTATTGTTGGAGATTTTAATGCGAAAAGATTCTCAAAAGTTGTCGGAAATTGCTTGAAACTCCGAAAAGCCGATATGCTCGCTGTTGATGGAGATAATGCCATCAGTAAATTTAGGCTTGCTACTGCTAAGATGTGGAGATGGAGCAGCATTAATGGTTGGTTAAGTTTGGTTTCTAAGAGTAAAGTCAAGGAGTTAGATCTTCATGTTAGTTCCAGGTCTAAAACAAGTTTCTGTCTGCCACCGAGTATTCTTCGCATCGAGTCATTAACCTGTCTAAGGTTGGCTAATGTTGAGGTGGAGGATGTTGATTCCGCAAGTCTTCCATCTTTGACGTCTTTGTCATTGGAGAAGGTGAAGCTGAGTGATCAAGTCCTTTGTGATCTTGTGTCGCGGTGCTGTTCCCTTGAGAGATTGGTTTTGAAATTGTGTCACGGTTTGTCGAATCCTAAAGTCTCAAGCTGGAGCGTCAAGTTTCTGGAAATTGCTTATACTGAATTCACAATCAGCAAAATGTTTCATGTTGAAGTTGGAGCTGTGAATCTTGAATCTTTCAAATGTAGTGGACCTTATGTCAGTTTGGATAATTTAAACCTCTCATTGTGTGCAACACTTAGGAGCCTCTCCTTTAGTTGCTTAAGTTTTGATGATCAGTGGTTGGAAGACCAAATCCTTAGACTGCCCCTTCTTGAGTGCTTGACTTTACGCCACTGTGTTAAATTGGAACGTGTAAGAATCTGTAGTCAGCGCCTGAAATGCTTAGCTTTCGAAGGAAACGGACTCTTCTTTGCTGCGGAGCCTACGATTGATTGCCCTAATCTTGTTTACTTTAGCTATGAGGGTTATTTGAGCTCTAACTCTACAATGACCCTGGGGAAGAACCTATTGGAAGCTAAAATCAAATGTCTCAATCCTGCAGCTTATGATACGGAATGGTATATGAATTTGATTGAATTTTTTTCAAACCTTAATTGCCCCAATAATATGAGCCTGGATGTTTGCTCAGAAGAGGTAACTATATCAGCCTTTTTTTCCCCCTCATTTATGGTTATTTCAAGCTTTACTTTCGTATTCTTTTCCCTTATTTCGTCTCGTATTTTTTGTTTTTGTGAGGCTCTCATTTTTCCATACACATTTCGAAAGCACGTTCGTTCTCCACTGCTCACTGTGAAGCATATGAAGGTGAGGACAGGTACGCCATCATTGGGAAACCCTGACTTGAGAGATGCCATAAATTGGCTTGTACCTTCTTTGAAGACATTATCAATTGAGTAGAGAGTAAATATCTTGTGGGATTTTATTACATTGTTACTAGTCTTTAATGGTTAAGATTTTGCTGCTTTGTAACTTTTTATACTGAAGCATCTAGCTCACTTTTTATTCCCTCTCTCTAACAACTTCCCAACTGAATTTCCAATCCCAAGACATTCTATTCCCTAACCGACTTCACTTGTTCCTGCATAGCGAATTATCTCCTACACCAATCACTCCACGCCTTCTGCCAACTTAGCAACTTCCTTTACGCATTCACCACTCGGATCTGGATCCATCCCCACGACCGCTCCTCTTGGCCCACTTGCTGCCTCTTCGTTATTTTATGCCTAGACTTTTGTTTATGGTTGTATAGGCTACTCTATTTTTTATTTATTTATTTTTTTTGTGTTTTGTTTATTGTTCCCCCGCAAGCGTACGGTGTTAAGTTTTGATAGTATAGTGTGAGTGAGTATTGTCTCCATAGAGATTGGTTGTTAAATTGCCACCGAGGACCGTAATTATCGTAACTCAACTTTGTCTAGACAACCGAACTCAATAAAATAAAAATAGAACTAGAACAAATATAAATACAAAAATAAAATAAAATATGGAAACTTCTATGCACATATGTACTAGACTTGACTTCACATTATCATTCTTATGTTCATTCTATCAAGCTAATACTAACCAATTCCACTCAATTCATTAATCAAGAGACCTAATCTAACCTCGCTACCTACCCGAGCGTCAAACGAAGTCATATGCATGAATACCCGAATCAATATTCTTAGAATATGAGTTTTACTACAGTAAATAGCTCTAAAATACAATCACATCTAACTTTTTTATTACAGTAAAAAACTCTCACATAAAGTCACCTATCAACTCAAATTAGCGAATTAAACGGGCCTTATATCTTTCGGTTACTAAAAAGGGAGAAAGAGAGAAATAGGTCAAGACTTGAGATGAATTAAAATTAATAGGTCAATAGTTTACATAAGTTAATAAATAGGTCAAATTACTGTTTTTGTCCATAACTTGTCTGATTATGAACCATAACTTGACAAGTTATTGTCCATTTTTGTCCATAACTTGTCCGGCTATGAACCATAACTTGACAAGTTTGTCCATAACTTATCTGGTTATGAACCATAACTTGACAAGTTATGGCCTATTAATTTCTATAACTAAAAGTTGACCTATATACTTTCTTAAGCTTTTCATATTGGCCTATTTTCTACTATTTTCGTACTAAAAATTCTCCCTTATTGAATTATTGCATTTGCATCATTATACGTTTATGTCGAGGTGTTAAAAAAATCCACCAAACCGTAAAAACCGCTCAATTTAAATCAAACCGAACCAAATCGTTAATTATTTTTAGATTATTAAGCGGTTTGGTCAGTTTTTTAATCTAATTTTTACGGGTAGTTTGGTTTGTAGTTTAAACTCCCTAAACTGTCCAATAATCCACCTAAAAATGTACATATATAATTTTTTAAATTTTAAAATATTTCTTATATTTATTTTAATTTTTATTGGCCATAATAAATATTCTACACTTATAAAACACACTGTATCATATTTTTATTAATTTGTATTAAAACTTTAAATAATAAACTGTTAGACATTTGCTATTTTTAAGTAATATTATAAACTTTAATCTTATTATTATTTTTATTAATTAACGATTTTATAATTTTTATGAATTATTGAAAACTTTTTTAGTCTTAAGTTTAATCCGCCCAAACCGCTTATAAGTGATTTGGTTCAATTTGGTTTTTGTTAAAAATATTAAACAGCCAAAACTGCTTAAAGAAAAAATTATTTTTAATTTAGTTAATGGTTTCTAAAAAAAGAAAAAACCACTCAAACCGACCGCGAACGCTCTTACATTTATGTTCCATATTATGCTTAATTTATACTAGTTATCGATGAGTTGTCTATTTTAACTTGTAAAATTTCAAAAATACCCTTTATGTTTTAAAAAAACCCCTTTTTTTTTTTTTTTTTTTTTTTTTTTTTTTTTTTACTATAATGAACTTTTAGACATTTATTATTTTTGAATTATATTGTAATCTTGAATCTTATTTTTATTTTTATGAATTAACGATTTTATAATTTTTTGTGAATTATGGAAAACTATATTAGCCTTAAACTCAAACCGTCCAAGCCAAACCATTCAAATCGTTTATGAGTTATTTGATACCCTTTATAGTTAATGTGTATTACTTTTTTATCATAGTAAAAAACTACAATGACTAAAAAATGACGCAATCTTATATTAAAATGAACCTTTATAAATTATGTGAATCGATTTTGCTTCATTTTTTTTTTATTTTTTCTATTACTCTCTGTTAAATAGAATTATGAGGTGTAATACTTAACAAAAATAAAAGTGTAAGTATAATTTTTTAATAATCTTAAAATATAGACGTAGGTGATTGTTGTACATATTGAAATATGAAGATATAAGAGTATAACAATTCATAACATAATGTAAATTTTTATTTTTTTAAGGATTATCACTTACACTCTTAAATTATAGAGTCACGCTACTTTGTCTCTTAAAATTTTTTAAAATTCTTCCTTTACTACTTTAAAACCTCGTTCATTTCACCGATTTGAGTTTTCAATTTTAAGTTTTTATGGTAAAAAATTCTCAAAAAATATCACATCTAACAAATTTTTTAAAATTCTTCCTTTACTACTTTAAAACCTCGTTCATTTCACTGATTTGAGTTTTCAATTTTAAGTTTTTATGGTAAAAAATTCTCAAAAAATATCACATCTAATTTTTTTTATTACAATAAAAAACTCTTAAAAAATATCACATCTCAACTCAAATTAAAAACTTGAATCCGCCGAGCCCTAAACTTTCGTGAGCTCACTTTGCTCTTCTCCTAATTTCCGTTCAAAAGAGACGGAAAACGCATCACGTGTGCTGTGTGCTCACTTGGATGGTGGTTGAATTATTTATGCCTCTCCCATCCCTAAAATCGAAATCTCCAAATTGGTTCCCTTATTTGATTCGGATTTGGGTGTTCCATTCACAACCAAAGGTACGAAATCATGGATCTAAAGAAGATGAATTGCAGTGACTCTGATTCGTATGGTAGCAGCTCTCATTCGACAAGAGCCATGGTGAAACAAGTTGAACCTAGACTGAATTTGTGCAAGTGTGGATAGTATAGAGAAATGAGGATGGCTTGGACTGAAGCAAATTCGGAAAGAAGGTTTTATGGGTGGCCAAGATATCAAGTAATCAATCGTGGATTGTATTGGTTTGTTTTTATTTTTATTTTTTTTTATGTGCTAATTGATGGTTAATATAGTTTTGTTTTGCTGAATTGTATTTTGTTCGTTTTTATTTTGAACGAAAATTAAGACGGAAAGGGCAAATGTAAGTTCATGAAAATTTAAAATAATAAGGTAATTTTAAAATTTTAAAGGGTAAAGTGAGATGAGTCTAACGTTGAGTGCGTCAGTGATAATAATTTTATTTTTTTTATTTTTTTTTTTAAACACAGACGTAGGTGTTTAGTTGTGTTTGTAAGACTTTAGAAAAACACTTCTTTTTAAGTCGACCGTTGCCTTCAAGCGAAACACTTTTTCAACCCATGAGGGACTCCTCCAAGGCTCTACCCAGAACCAAGCACTTTGTCACCAATCAAATAAACAACTGCATTGCTACTCGATCCCTCCCAAGAACCAAACAACTTCATGCCCATATTATCGCCTCAGAAGGCTCGCTATCCTCTCATCTCCGCTCAAGTTTTACCAAGTGCTATGCTATAATCGGTTCCGTCTCTTATGCCCGTAAGCTGTTTGACGAATTGTCTGACCGAAGCTCGGCATTGTACAATGCTGTGATAAGAATGTATATACATAAAGGTCTGCATTACGATGCTCTTAAAGTGTTTGGTGGAATGCTTGGTGAGGGAAAGTGCCGGCCAGATAACTTTACGTACCCGTTTGTTGCTAAGGCCTGCAGCGAGTTGGCGTTGCTTGATGTGGGTCTTGCGGTTCATGGACGTACGTTGGTATCTGGATTTGAGTCGGACCCTTTCGTCCAGAACTCCCTGTTGGCAATGTACATGAATTGTCGAGAGAAAGAGGCCGCTGGGAAAGTTTTTGAGGCGATGCAGGATTGGACTGTGGTGTCTTGGAATACCATGATTAACGGGTATTTTCATAACAGGTGTGTTGATGAGGCTTTGAGGATGTTTAAGTGGATGATGGATGTGGGTATGGAGCCTGATAGTGGCACTGTGGTGTCGGTGTTGCCAGCTTGTGGTTACATGAAGAATTTGGTGTTGGGAAGAGAGGTTCATACCTTGGTAGAAGAGAAGGGATTGGGGAAGAATATAAAAGCATATAATGCATTGGTGGATATGTATGCGAGGTGTGGTAAGATGGATGAAGCGCAAGTAGTTTTTGACAAGATGGGGAAGAGGGATGTTGTGACATGGACAACCATGATCAATGGCTATGTTTTCAATGGCGATGCAAGACAGGCTTTGGCACTTTGTGGGCTTATGCAGTATGATAGAGTAAGACCAAATGCTGTGACTATAGCCTCGCTTCTTTCGGCCTGTGGTAGTTTAACTCTTTTGAAATATGCCAGGTGCGCACATGGGTTGGCATTGAGGCAAAAACTTGAGTCTGATGTCATTGTGGAAACTGCTTTGATTGACATGTATGCAAAATGCAAATGTGTCGATCACAGCTTTCGAGTGTTTGCGAGGACTTCGAAACAGAGAACTGCTCCTTGGAGTGCCATCATATCTGGATTCAGTTATAACGGGCTTGCAAGAGAAGCAATGGAACTTTTCAAACAGATGCTTACGGAAGCTGTACAACCAGATGATGCAACCCTTAATGGTCTGCTTCCTTCGTATTCTATTCTTGCCGATTTTTGTCAAGCAATGGACATACATTCTTACGTTTTGAGATCTGGGTTTCTTTCGAGCATTGAAGTTGCTACCGGTTTGGTTGATGTGTATTCAAAATGTGGAAGTTTAGAATCTGCTCACAAGATGTTTAGTGAAATCCCCAACAAGGGGAGGGATATAATTGCGTGGAGTGTGATAATAGCTGGTTATGGAATGCACGGCCAAGGCGAGGCTGCTGTCTCACTTTTCAATCAGATGGTTCAATCTGGGGTGAGACCTAATGAAGTCACTTTTACTTCAGTTCTGCACGCCTGCAGCCATGCTGGTCTGGTGGATGAGGGGTTGTGCCTGTTCAAATCCATGCTTGAAAGTAAGAAAGTGAATCCACAGACTGATCATTATACATGCATTGTCGACCTTCTTGGTCGTGCAGGTCGACTAGAAGAAGCTTATGATCTGATTAAAAGCATGACATTTAGTCCCAATCACGCTATTTGGGGTGCATTGCTTGGCGCGTGTGTTACACATGATAATGTTGAGCTCGGAGAAATATCTGCTAAGTGGTTGTTTGAGCTCGAGCCAGAAAACACGGGAACCTATGTCCTGATGGCTAAAATTTATAGTGCAGTAGGTAGGTGGAAGGATGCAGAAAATGTGAGGCGAATGATGTCTGAAATAAGACTAAGAAAATCGCCAGCTCACAGTTTGATTGAGGTCAGAAATATCTAGACTGATTATACTTTGTTTAATAGTATCTTAATTGGATTCTTTTTGTATATGGCCAAGATACCTTTAGATTTGTAAAACAAATGCAAGAACAAGAAGCTGATTCTATATGTTAGTTTTGTCTTATGGATCTTGTGAAGTTCACTGTATATAGTTTTTTTTTTTTTTTGGCATTTATGAACTTGTAGTTAACATGTAATTAAGGTTGTGTCTGCATTTTCCATGTACCCATATAAAAATCAATAAAGAAAAAAGTTAACAGTGTTAATATAGATTGTGTTGAAATGATATGAGGACATATTACAGCTTAAACTTTCATTTCTGTACGTTGTCACCCTTTTCACATTTGGTCTTTTTTTTAAAAAAAAGAGAGAGAAGTACATGATGATTTTTTTCATTTCTTTCAAGGCTAAAATCCCAAATAGAGAAACCATTCGTTTTTCGTTACTTCCAAGACTTAAATCGTTTTCTTTCATTAGTATGGACACTTAACGTCTCTCCACATAGAAATCAAGTGCTTTTTGTCCAGTGCATTTGATTGTGTACTCACTTAGCTCACAAAAGAGTCTTGATTTAGAAGAAAAGTTAGATCAAATCACTCTAACCATTCTACAAACCAACATTTTCTCAATGTTTCCCTCAATTTTGGCAGACATCATCAGTGTTAAATCAAATTTTAATGGGTTGGAGGACAACATGAGACTTGTTCCAAACTTGTCCTGTCCATTTTTTCAACTTGTTCTTTTCTTGTTAATTTCTATTCTTTTCACTTTTACCTTTTTGTTCTTTTCCATGTATGACTTTTCACCAGCCTAGAAAGAATAATACTAAACTGCCCTTGTGGATCTTGTCTATCATTAGCACCACAAGACAATATGCATCATGGTTTTTAGAGCAGGAATTTGAGTTTGAGAATAGTTTTAAGACATTTAACAATAAACAAGTTTGCAATAAGTGGGAGTTGGGAAACGTGAAAAAAAAAAAAAATACTTAGAGGTACCACTAGTGTTAAACACCATCACTAATAAAACGAGAGTCATACACGTGGGATTTCATGCCGCACGATCCACCTTTTATCAGAGAGTAATGCTAAACACCATTGGTGTTCTATAGCATTTATCAGAGGGTAATGCTAAACACCATTGGTGTTCTATAGTATTCTTCAACGTGAAAATGTACATGTACTAACGTACTAGATGGTAAATTGACCCCTTTGGCTTTAGAATAAAGCTAATCATATGTCACGTATACTTTAAACCCGTTGTCTCCAACTGACTACTACAACTCATGTGTCATATGCTTTTTTCGCAATTTGGGATGTGCTTTTATAAGGGCCCCATATTTTTTCTTTTATGCAAAGTGTACATGTCCATGTTCTGTACTTAAAAGGGGAAAGAGAGTGAGAGAAGGAGTTTCTTATGGTCTTATTCTTGCACATGGAGATTGGATATCATACAAGGTACTTGTCGAGGCCCATAGCTTATTGATTCAATAGTATCCCCCATTTTCTCTTAAAATTTTCGGTTCTATTATAATGCTTCAGTAGCATAGATCAAATAATATGAGAATTTTATAGTTGAGCATTAAAAAAAAGAAAAAAATGTCCTACCAGTATTGTGTAGCTCTGGACCCTTCTATCACATCACATCACAATATAAAAAAATAAATATAAATGCTATTGATTGGGTTTGGGTACTACTGATGAGATATTTTACAATGCTTGCATTAGAATTCTTTGTTTTGTACTTTTTGTTTTTTTTTTTTAATGGGGATTCGAACTCCTATATAACAATATTGTTAGGTATGAAATTAAGGTTAAGCGAGCCCGTTTAATAAAGAGATTCGTTTCCTGATTCGAATCATGATTCGTTGTTCGTTACAGTATTTTCTCTCATAAAAAATACACGTAAATCAAAAATAATTTTAATCACATGGTTCTAATTCATGAACTAAACGGGCTCAAAAGACTGAAATAATCCCTCCATTTAAATCCCATTTTTTAAGATATATTTGTCGGTATTTACTGTTTATGCCAAGAAAATTGCATCCCTTATCCACTTGTAATTCACTAATGTCTTTCTCTTCGTAGCCTCCTCAAGACTCTACATCTATTGGAGCCTTTTCCAGGGCCCCAAGAAGAAAGTTCATAGCTGAATAAATGTCATAATTTAATTTAATTTAATTTTTTTTTAAGGATTTTATAGCAATTCCAACACAAGGTAGTGTTCATTGGTCCAGAAAAATTGTGGCTTTCCAACTTAAACATCAAGTTCAAGAGCTGGACCCAATTACCGTTTGGTTTTTCTCCAATAGCCTGTTCATCTGTAATTTTTTTATTTTATTTTTAGATACAAACTTTTTTTTTCTTTTTTGCTAATCACACGTACCCAATTTTTAGCCACAAACTTGGATGGCCAAATCTCTCTGTCCTTTTCGTACCATCTGGAGTTAATCATGTTTAGACGGCAACTGATTTTTCATATTGCTGCAAGAGGCACCACAGTACAAATGATTCGATTAGTTATCTAATTTAAATTTTTAATTTGAGTTGAGATGTGATTTTATATTAATTTTTTATTGTATAAAAAAAATTAAATGTGACTGTTTCTGATAACATTTTACTTAAAAAACTCAAATTTTAAATTCGAATTGATGAAATAAACGGGACTAAAATATACTTCTCTCTCTCTTTTTTTTTTTTAAATAACCCACAAAATAGTGAAGAAGAAAAGGTCTAACAGGCCGACAAATTGTTCTCTTCTATCCTATTGGGAGTAATCAAATCACTACTCTATCGCATTTTTGCATGGTCTATTATGCAGTGGAATTAAGTACCAAGCTAAAAAAATTGTGCTTTTAGAAAATTCCATGCCAATTTGCTTCCTTCAATTCTTGCGCTTTGCCTATTCTTTTAATTACAAAAAAAAAAAAAAAATATCATTTCATGTCTATTTTACTCCATTTATCACTTTTGGCCGAATTTTTATTATCAATTAACTTATTATTTTTTAAAAATATTTAAATGTTATGGATAAACATATACGCGTTCTTTAATATCTATTTTTTTTCTGGTATTATTTTGGCGGTTCAATTTGCTTTTTTCCCAAACTTGTGTAACATGAAAGGTCAATACTTCCACTAAACTCTCACACTTCATGCCTTGTGCATCAATGCACCTGTTGGGTGGTTAACATCCAAAAACAAATTATCAAAAGCTTCCAAAAACAGATTCATGAAAAACAAAGAAATAAAACCCCCCCTAAAATGAAGGTTTGTCTTGTCTATTTTGCCTTTCAATTTACAAGGCCGTAAAATCAGGGCCCCTAAAATCTGTTTCAGTAAATTTCCAAATAGGTTAAATCAAATCTAAAATTTTCCTCAAAAAAAAAAAAATCAAGAATTTTCCCATTTCATTTTTGGAATTTGTTTTCTCTTTACGTTTTTTGAGTAGTCTTCACTTGGAAGGTATTTTGAATTAAATGCATTATTGATTTTCAACGACATAAATGTTCATTAACCATGGAACAAGAAATGCAATGATGTAAATCGGAAAAACGTTATAATTTTTTTTTTTTATTGGAAAAGGAAACGTTCCCAATTTCCATTGCAATGCTATGAATTTTTCCCTTTTTTTTCCTTAAATGAAAGAAGCATTTGAACAATTATAATAAAATTTCCCCTAATTCCTAAACTATCCAGTATCCATCTTCTGCAACTTCAGTTTAACTCGTAATAATAATATCAATTAATAAAAAATTAACTAAATATAAGCATTAGATTAACAAAAAAACATAAACAATTGTGTCCACATAATCTCTCTTGAGGCAAATATTAAGCCCATAAAACAGGGCACATTTATCTAAATTTAGCATTAAAATTCAGCCCCACTCACTCATTTGCCCTTAGGCTTTAAACACATCAAAGGTCAAACTCCCCCAAGATTATCTCTCTTTCTCTCTCTATCTTAACCAACACGGTTTTGACCCAAAATATTTTTTTGGACTTTTTTTTTAATTTTTTAATTTTTTAATTTTTTTCATTTTCCCGTTTCACACTCGTAATTGCATTTTATTTTCCGGGAAAACGAAATTTAGATCGGAGCGATCCAACCAATCAAAAAGCTCCTCAAGATCTCGGAAAGAAAATCTCAAGAAAAACCCAAAAGGAAAAAGAGAAGGAAGCCAAATTTTCTCTCTCGTTCTCTCATTATCTCCCTCTCTTCTCTGACCATTTCCTTCTCTTTGATCCGTGGGAAAATCAAAAACCTAAGTTGATCGATTGGAAATTTGGAATCTCTCTCCGATTTGATTTGAATCTCCGCTGGGGTTTGAATCCTCCAATGCGGTCTTCCGCAAGGCCGCGAACGAGCAGAAACGAGAGGAACAGATCTGAATCGGAAAGGCATTGTCGGCGGGCGATCGGTGGATCTCATGGTGAGGATTTTGCGGCTGCGGGCGTCGTCGGTGGAAGCTATAGCGACGGGATTGGGCGGTTGTGCAACGATTATTGAAGAGGTAGAGAAGAAGACGAAGAAGACGACGACGGGGCTGCGAAAACGACGATGCAGCTTCGCTTCTCGCCTAGCATGAGAAGCATCACGATCTCAAGCAGCAATGGCTTTATTGACTTGATGAAGATCAAGGTCGCAGCTCGCCACATCTCTTATCGAACTCTCTTCCACACCATCCTGATCCTCGCTTTCCTCCTGCCTTTCGTCTTCATTCTCACCGCGGTCGTTACCCTTGAAGGTGTCAACAAGTGCTCCTCATTCGGTACTCTATTTTTTTTTTCCTATCATCAACTTTTTTATTTTTCTTTGGGTTTGAGATTGTTGTGTGCTAGATAGATCTTGATTGATTTCACGAGATTGCTTTGATTGTTTCGGTTTGATTCGAATCAAAATCGAATAGTTTGATTGGTATTTGGCATTTTGTGACACCGGATTGGATTGGTCTGGTCATGAAAATTCTGCACTTGTTGAAACAAAATCAGGACTGAGATAGATTTAAATTCGACTCTAATGCTAAGGAAGATCAAGCATCTGTTCATTCTTCTGTTTGTTTCTTTGTATTTTCGTTTTAATTGTGGGGTTTAATTCGTAATTCGATGTTAATTGTGACTCAAAATAAAGGTTTCGAAGGTCGTGACACGTACCTAAGGTAGTTCTGAGATCTGTACTGGAAGAATAATCTGCAACTCTGGTTTATTTTGGTTTTTGAATTTGAATCTTGCATTAAGTTTGTTCTGCAGCAATTTTGTTAAAAAGGATACAACGCCAGTAAAAATTGTTGTGATATTTATGGATATTAAAGCTATTTGATTTCAGTTTTGATTTTGGTTTCTTTCATAGAATTGATGCAGGTATAGACTTATTGGTTTTAAACTTATTATATGCATCCGGTCAAGTTTTGTTAGGAATTTTTTTATCACATTATTTAAAGATAATTTTTTTCATTCTAGTGCTAGTTAATTCATTGAACCTTTAGAAGTTCTTTAAGCCAATAAAAAAATGAACCTTTAGAAGTTAAAGAGGTAGCTTATAGGCATGCTTTTATCATCTTAGTATCAAGTTAGTGTGGATAAAGATGACATATGTGTGCTTGATTTATGAAAACAAAAATCAATGTTGAAGAATTACTTTGCTTACCCCCATATATTTTTTTAACCCGCTAGGTATGTGCCCTTCTTCATGACCTTAATAATGAACAATAAGTTTTCATTTCCTTTTTTTCCCCCTCTCCCCGTCGGCATATCTTTTTTCTTTTCTTTTGCCTTGTCAATGTTTTAACTATTTAATTTGGTTATAGTTGGTATTCTGGCACAACATGTTATTTATTTTTCTGCCCCAACCTTGTTTTTTTATATGCCTGCTTTTATCATCAATTTGTTGTTAGATTATCATCTGAAACTTTTTTTTTTTTTTCAATCTGTTTATGATAGATCCATTATTTACTCCTTTTAATTATGTGCTTCAGATTGTTTAGGCAGACGGTTGGGACCAAGGCTTCTTGGTAGAGTTGATGATTCAGGGGTAAGTGTGTTTTCCTATGCTGTGAACTCTTTTTTCTTTTCTATCCAGAACTTTTGATCAATGGTTCTCTTGCGTCATTATTTAAGCTGATTCCTCATTGATGTGTTGATGGTGCAGCAGAGACTTGTTAGAGATTTTTACAACGTTCTTAACCAAGTGAATACAGAGGTAATTCCAGCAGACCTAAAGCTGCCAGATTCATTTAGTCAACTTGTTTCTGAAATGAAGAACAACCAATATGATGCGAAGACGTTTGCTATAATGTTAAGGGCAATGGTAAGTTATCATCATAGAAGCCTTATTGTGTTTTGGTTGCTAAGCGGTAAATTTGTTTCTCAAACAGGAAAATTAACACAACAATATTTGGTTTTTTGTTTTAATCAGTCTTTCTTCAATATTCTCTTTTTCTTTAGAAATGAGTTTTGTATCAGAGTATATGGTATATGCATTGAATATCTCCTCCATTTTATCCGTTTCTTCTTAGTACAATCGTTCATTTGTCATCTTCTAGATACTTCTGTTTAGGATATGTATGTTTCTTTCTTCATATACTTGAGATTACTCTTTGGGAGGTATGCCGTGATAATTTTGTGAGAATTACAATCTTCCTTGATCCTAAACTAAGACACAGCATTTTGATATTCTTAGACGCTTTCCATAATCGTTTGATTACCATTGCGCAGATGGAAAAACTTGAAAGGGAGATGAGGGAGTCCAAATTTTCAGAGTTAATGAACAAACACTTTGCAGCAAGTTCCATACCTAAAGGAATCCATTGTCTTTCTCTGCGCTTGACTGATGAATACTCATCCAATGCTCATGCCCGCAAACAGTTGCCTCCTCCAGAGTTACTCCCATTGCTCTCTGACAACTCTTACCACCACTTTGTCCTGTCAACCGATAACATCTTGGCTGCTTCAGTTGTTGTTACTTCTGCTGTGCAGTCATCTAGTAAACCTGAGAAGATAGTCTTCCATGTCATTACTGACAAAAAAACTTACGCGGGTATGCACTCATGGTTTGCTCTAAACCCCGTGTCCCCTGCTATTGTCGAAGTCAAAGGTGTACACCAGTTTGACTGGTTAACCAGAGAAAATGTCCCTGTGCTTGAAGCTGTAGAAAACCAAAACGGGATCAGAAAATATTACCATGGGAATCATGTTGCGGGGGCAAATCTCACTGATACAACGCCACGAACCTTTGCTTCTAAATTGCAGGCTAGAAGTCCGAAGTATATATCCTTGCTCAACCATCTCCGCATCTACTTGCCAGAGGTATTTAAAACTTTATTTCAGATAATATCTTTTCAATCTTATTTTTTTACACTAACGATGCTTATTATGCATATCAACAGCTATTTCCAAACCTCAATAAGGTGGTATTTTTGGATGATGACATCGTGATTCAACAAGATTTGTCACCACTTTGGGAAATCGACCTTGGAGGAAAAGTCAATGGAGCTGTAGAAACTTGTAGAGGAGAAGACGAGTGGGTAATGTCTAAGCGTTTCAGGAATTACTTTAATTTTTCCCATCCCCTCGTAGCAAAGAATTTAGACTCTGAAGAATGTGCATGGGCTTATGGAATGAATATCTTTGATCTTAATGCTTGGAGGAAGACAAACATAAGAGAAACTTACCATTACTGGCTGAGAGAGGTAATTCCAATTATCATGGTTTTCCCTTGTTATTTTCATTCTTTGATGCATTTTTTTCTCATGTGAAGTGAGTCCAGAAATGACATATGCCTTGAAATTATATTAGCCTGGCCATCATTTTAGCGTCGTCCTTGACAAAACTATTTGAACTTAAGGATTTACAGTTACTTGTTTGTTTATATATAAGTGAGCTACTTGTTGGTGGGCCCTAAAGTTCGTCATTTTCTTTTGTAGTGCTGTGGGGTAAAGAGGAATAATAGTTTATGCTCGATACTTAAATATTTTTATTTTTATTTTTTTATTTTTATTTTTTATTTTTTTAAAGGGAGAATTTCACTTTCATACAATTGGAATTTGTCTTATGTTTGAAATTTCAAGAGCTCTTTTTCGGCCTTTTGATTAAAGACAAATAGGATCTTTTAGGCCAAACTTTGTAGTTACATTCGATGAGACTGAAATTAATAACCTTAGTAATCTTTGTTTTCAATTTCTTTTTTGCTTGGGAGGCCCATTGTTATTCTATGTTGCTTAATTAATCAGTTTATGGTAATATAGTATTGTTGCGATTATTGCAACTTTTTACTTAATTGTGGGTTTTTTTAAGCAGAATCTGAAGTCAAATCTAACAATGTGGAAGCTTGGAACATTGCCCCCTGCGTTGATAGCGTTTAGAGGTCACGTTCATCCAATTGATCCGTCCTGGCACCTGCTAGGATTGGGCTATCAAAATAAAACCAGCATCGAGAGTGTTAGAGAAGCTGCAGTTATCCACTATAATGGCCAGTCAAAACCATGGTTGCAGATCGGTTTTGAGCACCTTCGACCATTTTGGACCAAGTATGTCAACTATTCCAATGATTTTATCAGGAACTGCCACATTTTAGAATCATAGTTGATCAGCCAGAGGAGCTAAAAACAAGATACTGGACAAGGAAACGAAAGTGCAGTTTATACGGGTTTGACGTTTCAAGTTTTTGGAGCTCAAGATGACAAGCAGAGAAATGGCAAAAGGGCAATAGTTCCCCGTTCGATATTCCTGTCATCCCTTCCACTTTTGCAGACAATCACCAGCATCCCTGTCACAGGCATATGAGATTCATTCTTTCAATCTGTAACATAGCAATCCGTCTATTTTTTTGGTTTGGAGAAGGATAGTACTATTGGTCTTCCCATTGGAGGTTTTGCTTGATTATTTAGTGCTTATTTCAGAATAAAGTGAGATGCAGAACGTTAAAGATTGCCTGTCTCCACTCCATCATGCTGATTGGTGCACGGAAGAAGAAGGTTAAGCCCTTCTGTCAGGTTCCCCCACATTAGCCCAAATATGTTTTTGCCCCTCAAATTTTTTATTTCTCTTTCATTTTTTTTTTTCAATTTATCATTTTTGTTAGTACCCATTTCTTCCCTTTAATTTCATATCTTTATGGAGAATTTTAGGAGTAGTTCCCTGAGATTGTTTTGTTACAGATCCCATTGAAATGGGGAGCTCTACTTAGAACATATATCAATATCTGCTATGTACGATTCACCACAGACGTTTGAAATGTGCAGAAAATTCTTTACTTCGATTATTCTATTTTTCCATCTCACTGTAATACCAAGTGCACTTTTAACTGTTTATGGAACTTGGACCGCTGAAATATTGCTTTTCTTTCTTGATGGCACTTTGGCCATTTTGATAGTTAGAATTGCTCACGAGTTCAACTTTGGCAACTGGTCAAATTACGTAGAAGTTGACCTATCATTTTCACTTGAAGCAAAACAGCCAACGTTTTTATGTTTTTTCTAATAATAATGTACTCTTCCTTGTGTTTAATATTTATTTATCAAGGTTTAGTAGAAACAATAATAATGCTACGAGTCATCAAGGTTTACATGTATTTATTAATGTCTATCTTCTAGTAGAATCTTTATCATGAAATGACATTACGCCCATGAAGCGTGTTCCAATTAGATCTCTTGGTCGTTAATAGCATGGCTTGATATCCTATCGAAACAGTTTATAAAACTTTTCCAACAAAAAGATTCTTGATCATGGAATTTTCCAAGTTGATGATGACAAGATACCCATCTTGTGATATTTTAAACTCTTGGCATCCGACGACCAAATCTTCTAGTTCTGATAACTTCTATGTGCATGAGGATAATTCTGATGCTTAACCACCACATTACTAATTTAAACGCAATTAGGCTCCACGTGTAGTGATCCCTTTTGGCTTTTTGCTCTTTTCTTTAATCAATGTTTAGTTTGTTAGTGAATGATTAGACGTTTGCTAAGTATAATAGCCTAGTTGCAGAATTTTATAACCATAGTTTAGTTGATTCTTCCAAAGAATATATAATGGTGCAATCTGAAAGGTTCTTGGCCCATCTCTTCCATCTACTTATCTACCTCAATTATATGGAAGAAAGAAAGTGCATTGTATGATATGCAAAGGGAAAATGGACCAAACGTACGCCCTATTCACTTGGCCTTTGGTAAAAGAGAGTAAATTATTGTCTTAAGACACAACATGATGAATTTTTTTTTTTTTTTTTAGTTTGCCATCACCTCGAAAAAGAAGAATTATAAACAACGGTTTTTACTGTCAGAACTGGTGACCATATTGAAAGATAACGACTTTCCTACCACTTCCCTCTTGCAATATATTTCATACATATTACTAGTTTTTCGTAAACCATTCTTCTTTGTCAAACCTATAGATAATGACCCCTCAAATCCAACGCTCCTGATTGTAAATCCAGTCATTTTATTTGGTTAATTCATTAAAACGATATGACAATTCTAGATCATTATTATGTCTTGAATGTGATTCACGCATATATAGATACATAGAAAAGGAAAATGTAAACTTTCTTCCTTTTTTCAAATTTTTTTTCGTTCCCTGAGATTGGTATCTCTTGACGGCTACGTTGTATATAATTGGCAAATATTGTGTGCGTTTAGAACTCGTTTTGAAATTATTTTATTTTTTATATAAAAATAATAATTTTATTTTTTGTATGAAAATAAAAATAAAAACGTTTTCAATCTCAGACAAAAATTATTTTTAAAAATGCGTTTGATAGTTTTATTAAAAAATTATTTTCAGTATAAAAAATATATTAATGTTTCTCTCTGATCGAGAGAGGAAAAAATAAAAATAAAAAATAAAAAATAACTAAAAATTATTTTTTATTTCTTTCTTATTTTACACTATATCAAAAATTATTTTTATTTTTATTTTTTATCTTTAATTATATCAAACACTATTTCTTTTCTATTTTATTTTTTCTTTCTTAAAAAAAAAAAAAAAAACTCAAAACACAGCCATTATCCCACTAATATGCCACCAACGGAAAGTCAATGCATCAATTTTATTACAGTGGCAAAATAACCTGATTTGGCGGGTAGTGATGATCACAGATCAACGGTCATGATGGCACATCACGCACAGTAATATGTCTCTCTCTTTTTATTTTTTTTTATTTTTTTTAAGAAGAGAATTTATATGGAAAGAAAGTTGGTGACCTTGGAAGTTGGCAAAAAGGGTCGGTGTGTTTTTAAAAAGAAAGAAATCTATCAATTTCCATAGCATTAGGAGATTTGAAGGAGAAGGAGGCCTTTGTAAAAATAAGGCGAGAATGGAGTCATTGACCACAGATTTAGAAGACTTTGAAAACTCCGAAACTGCCTCCTCTCTAGGCACTTATTACTATTTCATCTCTTCCTCCTCCCACTTCATTATTAATTAATAAAAATTTAATTAGCTTCGAATTCTTCTTCTTCTTATTCTCTTCTTGTTTGTTTCTTCCTCGGCTTGGAATTCTGAACCTGCTAGCTAGCTCTGTGCCGAAAGAGAGAAACCCAGATCAGTTTCTGAGCCAAGTAAGGCAAAAATTAAGGGAAAAAAAAAAGTTTCCATTTTTCCAATGTTTCCCTTCTCTCTTTAATCGTTTTGGAGTTAACCCAGTTGAGAATTTCTGTTGATTTTGGTATTCCACAAACACCCAATTAATAATTTTGGTGGGGTTTCTTTCTTACCCCCTTTTTTTGTGTTGAATACTCAATTATTGATAAAGAGCTCAAAAAAGACCTTATTTTTCTTCTAGAAAATTAAAGATGAGACGTAGATATTTTGACTTTATGCTGTTTAATTCCATTTTTTTCATGTAAATCCGGAATCAAAGAACTCATTTTTCATTTCTTCTGGTATTTTGCAGAACCCGGAGTGAAGATTATGGAGTCTTTTTCTGTTTGAGATCTAATTCAAGTGTTAATGTGCTGGTTCTGATTGCTCTTGGCTAAGAAAAACAGTGAAAGTGAAGATTTTTGGGTTCCAGATTCAGAAAACAATTTTGAATCTGTAAAAGTCGATTGGATTGTGAAGATGGCTGGGGTGCAAGATCAATTGGAGATCAAGTTTCGGTTAACTGATGGATCGGATATTGGTCCCAAAAGCTTTCCTGCTGCCACAAATGTTTCAACCTTGAAGGAAAGTATACTTGCTCAATGGCCTAAAGGTAAGAATGAAATTTCCTCTAATTGAGAAATTCTCCAAAACAAAAGAAATTATTGTCTTCTAGTATTTGATTTTTTTAGGAAACAAATCAGAATCATTGAGTTATTATTACCTGTCTTTGTATGTATGTCATGCGATTTCCTATTGATTCACCAAAGTCAATAGTTTTATTGTAAAAACTGGAGAAATTGTGAGATAGAAATTCGCATTTATAAGTCTTAGATCTTTATTTTATTTGAATACCTCTTTATATTTTACTTCGCTTGTGTTGTGTCGTGTTGTGGGGTATTTCTTAGATGTGAGAACGTGACAGAAACTAAATTAACTATATGCAGGTTTAAATGCCAATGTGAAATCGGTTTCTAGGATAGTTTTTCATTATCACGTCTGACATATATCTATGTATATATATTTAAGGAGTGACTTGACTGGAAATTACACGATAATTTGTTACAAAGTTGGTAATCGGCAGATAGTATAAGATATATCCATTGGCAGTTTTCTTAAAGCTCTTTTTTTTTCCCCTCACCAAACAGCCGTAGTAGTTGTGAAAATCCCTTAGTTGTTTAGTGGGTAATGGATTATGGAAATGCATTTTCCTCTATCCACAAGCAGTTCTTGAAGGTCTCAAAATCTTATCAAACAGAATGGTGATGAGACAATGTGAATAGTGAATGAAAACTATCGAATTTTAGCAGCAGCAAACTTTTAATTTATGAAATTTTTTGATAGAAACATGTGTTGCCACTTGATGTTGGTCGAGCTAACCAAAGTTGTGAAAATCCCTTAGTTGTTTAGTGGGTAATGGATTATGGAAATGCATTTTCCTCTATCCACAAGCAGTTCTTGAAGGTCTCGAAATCTTATCAAACAGAATGGTGATGAGACAATGTGAATAGTGAATGAAAACTATAGAATTTTAGCATCAGCAAACTTTTAATTTGTGAAATTTTTTGATAGAAACATGTGTTGCCACTTGATGTTGGTCGAGCTAACCAAACATGAAAATTTATCTGTTTGAACAGAGAAGGATAATGGTCCAAGGACAGTAAAAGATGTGAAGCTAATAAGTGGAGGAAAAATATTGGAGAACAGTAGAACAGTTGGCGAATGCCGTAGCCCCTTATGCGAGATCCCCGGCGGAGTTACAACCATGCATGTTGTTGTTCAACCACCGTCAGTGGAGAAAGGTACAACTATTTACCTGAACTTTCTAGAAACTATAACCTACATTCCAAACATAAAGAGAACATTTCATTCTTGTTGACTCTTTTATATGATATAATATCTCTTCTGGTTCTTTTGGCAACAACTTGAAAACGAAAGAACTATATATTCTTTTGTTTGGAGTCATTAGAATGTTTTTTTTCCATCAACAATCATGCAATTGGTTAGCAGGAGTTGCAAATTGTAGCCTCATGTTCTTCGGCCGAATTGGAACTTGATAATTTGAGCGAAAAAAAATATGGGCAAAGGTTCTAAAAAACAAAAGTCTTATAAATTACGGCCTTCAAGTGGAAACTTAATTGAATTGAGGAAATAGTCATATTTTCTCATTAGTTGCTCCTTTGCAGTCTCTTTTTAGTTATGTTGGTTTTATCAGTTGCTTCCCTTTTTCATTTTTAGACTTTTATGGTTTAGGTTTGTACAAACTCTTTTTTCCTCCAAATTAAAAAAAGAGGTTATTGTGATCAACAATTCTATAGGAAAGATATGTACTCAGCAGGGAAACTGGAAAAAAGTTACTAGTTTGCATCTCTTTGAGGCTTAGTGATTTATTTCCCAATCTCAGTTTTGTCAATGTTAAACTCAATTCAATTCAAAAGTCACAACACAATCTAATTACCCAACTTCTCCCGAGCCTTTTCCACTACCAACTAGCTTTTATGTAGATTTGGTGCTTCTTCCTGGTTTGTGTTATGACAAAATGCGTCTTCTCTTTCTCCCTTCAACAGAAAAGAAAGCGACAAGCGAACCACAACACAACAAGTGCGGCTGTGTTATATTATAACTTTGCAGTTCTTAAATATTGGGGATGACATCATTTTTAGGTTGGTATTAGATTCTTTGTCATCTCTCTTACATTGCCTGATCTCTCCCCAAACTTCTTAATAGTACTTTGTATTTTGCTTATCATTACTTTTTTCGAACTTCTATTGTAAGATATGTTCTTTTTAACTTCTACTAGTTATTGCTATTTTAACTGTTAGATTTAGATTTCAGCAGTATGGTCTACGAGTGCCCGCATTAAAGATTTGCAACATGCAATACAAAACTGTTACAATCACCAATCAAACCATTAAAAACATAATTTATCGGTTAAAACAATAATAACTACTGTTGTTAAAAAGGACAAGTCTTGCCAGAGAGGCATTCCCTATCTATTTATGCAAATATTTTGCTTATTATTATTGCTTTATGCCATAGGTGAAAGAAAGCTGGTAAAGATGAAGGAAGTTTGGTGAAATTTGCTGATTGATGCAGAGCTTTTTGGATCAAACATATATGTTGATTATTGGTCACGTATTGGTAAAGGTCTATGTTATTTTTCTTATAGCTATTTGCCTTGTCTTACCTCTACAACCTTCCTTGTTTGTTGTATGAGTCCATTGGATCCTACAATCTTTGCTCGGATACTTTTACTCCCAAAATTTATGCATTCCTTCTTCTTTCCGCATTTAATTTTGGATTTTTGTACTATTGAATCGATGTAGGTTTTTTTTTTTGGTTGGGGGGAGTTATGTGTATTTTATTATTTTTAACTGTGCATTTTATTTTACTATTATAAAAAATGTAAGTCACGCATTTTATATATTTTTAATTTTGTACCTTTGGATTTTAATTTTGTACCAAACCCATTTTTTCTTTTGATTAACTTTTGCTTTTGACCACTTATATGATGACTTTACAATTCAAAAATTATTAAAGTCATCATTTAAGCGGTCAAAATTAACATTTAACTTCTTTAGCAAAATAATAATAATAATAATAATAACATTTAACTTAAAAGAACGTTAAATTTTATATGAATAACAAATCTAAAGGTATTTATATTGAGAAAGTCCCAAATATATCGCTTGTATTTTTAATAAATTCAAACCGCAGAACATATAAAATAAAAAAATAATAAAAACTCTTTTTTGTGTGAGAGAGAAATCTTTACCAATTTCACTATGTGATATCATCATATAATCTCGGAGGCAATACGTCTATGAAATGGGAAACGTGAAGGCTTAATTGAAACTCTCCCTAGTGATATCACTAGGTGTTTAACAATGTATATACCGAAGTTATTTGTTGTTTACCGCCAATTTATTATCGTCAATAAATTGGTGTGACGGCAAAAAAATGTCTTTTTTTCTCTGTTTTTTGAATGTCTTCGTGATTCGATACTCCAAACTCTCATTTTTAATCCTTTTGCCCGGCTTTTTAAAGTGATAAATAAGATGATGCCATATGAGACTAATAATCTCTTTTTTATATTAAAATTCTGTTTATTTTACCGATTTGAGTTTAAAATTAGAGTTTTGTTACAGTAAAAAACTTTAAAAAACAGTCATATTTAATTTTTTTTTACTACAGTAAAAAATATTAATATAAAATCACATCTTAATTCAAATTAAAAACTTAAGTCAGTGAACTAAACGGTGGTATTAATGGCACAACTATTCACATTGCTTAAAAATGTTCACGTAGAAGTATAATAACAGTTCTCATTGCCTATGAAGTATAAAAGTTCGAACCCACTATTTTCAGCGGTCAGCGATGATACAAACGACGAAAACTCGGTCCTCGGATCACGAGTGAATGGCCTAGGTTATCTTCTCAAAGCCCAAAAAAAAAAAAAATAATAATAATAAAAGGAGAAAAAGAAGAAAAACAACAGCCATATAGTAGGATTACAGTCAAAGCCAATCGGACGGTGGAAGATTGCTGTTTCCTGCTTACATGAAGATGGGGAATTAGGATGTACAAAATATAAGTCCGTCAAATAAATCGCATATTTTTTCTACAAAATAAATCACATATTTGTCTCATTTCACAAGAATGATATTTTGATATTTAACACTTGAGCGCGCTCCTCTTTAGCCTTGACTTTCTTTCGATAATTGCAGTAAATAACATTTTTACCAGAGAGAGAAATGTTTTCATACAGAGGCTTGGCACCTAGTTATGTTTATTTAAGTTCGGCTTTACTCCGACTAAAGTTCAAGCAAAGACCAGTCCCCTTTTTTTTTTTTTTCCAAAATTTTATCCTTATAAAAAAAGAAAAATAATAAAATTCCTCTCATTCTATATATTTTTGTGATTTCTCTCATCCTAAAAGGTAAAAGGATTAGATTGACCGGTTAAATAATTAGTGTAATTCTCTTATATCAAGTCATAACAGTTATTTATTTGAAAACCAAAAGTCATAGCGTAATTTTTATGACATTTTTTTGTAATCTCTCACAATTTTTATGGAGGAAATTTATCTTGTCGTAAAATGTTAAAAGATTAGCGTAACCGATTAAATGATTAGCGTAATTCTCTTACAGTTACTCATTTGGGAACCATAAGTCATTTTTAAGCATATAATAAATAAAACACTCTCATGTACTGCTCTAAACAAATGTTATGAATATACATTTAAAAATGACAATTGTTTATTAATGTGTCTTTTAATATTTTTTATATAATTATTCATGATACGTGTACACGATAATCGTTTATTGTTATATATTTAAAAATGACTTTTAATTTTCAAAATAATGACTGTTACAACTCAATTTAAAATAATTACGTTACTCTTTTAGCCGATTATGATTAACACACAAACTCATTACAATGACACATAGAGGACTTATCCCTCATTTTTAAATTGGAGAACTATTTTTAATGTTATGAGGAGCTCTCATTCTCTCTATTTTCATCACCTAAACAAATACTTTTTATTTTTTCCTATTTTCAAACTTTTTTAATGGAGACTTTCTTTAATAATTACTATAAAATTAAATTATTAATAATTTTTAATTTTTTAACTGTTAAATATTTATTAAAATCTGTTTATTCTTTATATATTGTTTTAATACAATGTGATGTTCACGGGCTCAAATAGTAAAAATTTTTTTTTTAATACGATGCGATGATGTTCACGGGTCCAATAGTAAAAACTGGGATCACCCAAGATGGACTGGGATCCTCTATCCAAAAATTCATGTCCCAAACCCTGTCCAACAAATCATTTTACACCACGTCATCTAACAAGGTTGAAGAGAAATCTCCGTTTATCAAACGTTAAAGTCTATCTCTCCTTAATCTTTCGTTTTTTTTTTTCCTTCTGGATGTAGAGACGCGAACAGTTTGTTATTTTTTATTCTCTCTCAAATTTCATATGCCCTGTGAGGCTCTGAAAGTCTCTACTTTACTATTATTCCACATGCTTAATGATCTTGCGTTTGAGATCCTCAGTGAGGCCGCCGCTCCTCATCGTGAACACCATCGTCGCCATGGCCGAGATCGTGGTCGCGTTCGTCGTTGGACAGAAGCGCGTGAACGTCGTCAAGTGCGTGATCCGGGGATCCAATGGGCGAGGCATTGGGATGTGGCGGCGGTGGCGACGACGGCGGAGTCGAGGCAGCGGCGGTAGGCCTCTCTTCGGATTCCTTGGGAATAGGCAGAGTGGGAGAGAGAAGGAAGATGAGACCCTTCAAATTCAAATGTTGAAATGGCGCTCATTTCTTCCCCTTCCCTGTCTACTATGACAAAATTCACAAAACTAATATCACATAAGTTATAGCAGAACAAATGGATAATCACCCACTGAATAATTTCAGCAAGCAGGGAGGCAAATTCAACAAGAAAAGCTCGCAGAGAAAAGGCTCGCCAGCCACGAGTTCAGTTGATTATCTTCCCAGACTTTTCAGAGAGAATAGGGAAATATAGGAAGAGAAAAAAGCAAAAAAAAAAAAGAAAAAAGAGTACATGGGAACTCGTGTTTTTATTTCCCAAAGAAAGAATAAAAGAAGAGAGCAGGGTTAGACTTTTAACGTTTAACAGACGGAAATTCTCTTCATCATACTAGATGACGTGGCGCAAAATCATTTGTTGGACAAGGTTTGGGACGGGAAACTTTGGACAGAGGATCCAAGTCCCGTAAGATGGTTCATCAGAGAAACCCCTTTTTAATTACCATAACATAGCCAATCACAATCATATCCATTGCCACGTGTGTGAACTCAAAGCAAGTGTGCACCCTCCTCCGAATCATCCTGAACCCAAAACACTCCAGAAGTCCCGACGTTTCACGAACACTCTCCTCTCTTCCTTTTTCATTTTTATTATTCCTCACAATTAAAAAAAAAAAAAAAAAACTCGTCTTTTTAATGATTCCATTTCAAGCTTCCCTCTTCATTTCCTTTCCGCCAACAACATAACGAATATTAGCGAAATGCGCTTTCTCCGACTGTAACTTCTTTTCTCAATTCCCAAGCAAGCCAAACAAGAAGCTCTTATATATATATATATATATATATATACACACACACACACACACACACACACACACATCTATAAATACACACACACACTACTATATTTCTCTGAGCTCCTGAATAGTGTCCGGAAAATTCCAGAATGACGACCTCAACGATGTCGTTTGCTTCCGGACTCGCTCTTCGTCTTTCTCCCTCCAACTCCTACTGCACCAGAAGCTCTCTCTTTGCTCGCCCACACCGTTTCTCTCTCAGCTTTTCTCCCAATTCCAACTCCTTAAGATCCTTAAAGTCGTCGAATTGGAATCGGAGCAGTGGATTAGCAGCTAATCAGAGATTCAGTCGCAGCTCGAGGCGTTTCGTTGTCCGTTGCGATGCTTCGAGTGGAAGAGTACGTTTGATTTTGGCTAAATGTTTGGTTTCGATTTTAGGTTTTCTTTTTTTTGTTTTCCTCAATTTGGTTTTGTTGAATTTGGTGTTTTGAATTTCGATTTTGGCAGCAGATTACTCAGCAGGAGTTTACGGAGATGGCTTGGCAAGGGATTGTTTCGTCGCCGGAGGTGGCGAAGGAGAACAAGCATCAGATAGTGGAGACTGAGCATTTGATGAAGGCTTTGTTGGAGCAGAAGAATGGGCTCGCGCGGAGGATCTTCTCCAAAATTGGGGTTGATAATACTCGCCTTTTGGAAGCCACTGATAAGTTCATCCGACGCCAACCTAAGGTAATCTTTTACATAAATGCAGGAAAGTTCTATTTTTAGATGTTTTTGGTGTTTATTGGTGACACACTTTAATACGAGTATTTATTGGTTTCTTAAATCTATGAGCTTGTATTTGGTTGATTACACTTCTAGTGGCCAATGGTGAGTTCATTTAACCCCAATTAGTTGAAGGTAGTCCTAAAATCTGTTATAAATAGGAGAATTCTTTGGCAGGATAAGTTATGTTTGACCATTAGATCAATCATAATCAATGTTTGAGTAGAGAATGTATGCAAATGGAGCAAATTGATGAAAATCAAACAGTCTAGACTCCGGGGGGGATTTTCCGGAATTCTCAATTAAAGTAATTTCTTGTGGTGTTTATGTAACTGATTAGAGCAAGTTCTTAGTTTCTCAAAAGCTAAGAACTTGTATTGGGTTGATCACTAGGAACCTGATGATTTGGGATTTGTGTGTTTTTAATTAATTACACTAGGTTCTGGGTGAGTCTGCTGGGTCGATGTTGGGACGTGATTTGGAAGCCTTAATTCAACGAGCTAGGGAGTACAAAAAGGAGTATGGAGACTCGTTTGTGTCTGTGGAGCATTTGGTTCTTGGTTTCACACAAGACCAAAGATTTGGGAAGCAATTGTTGAAGGATTTTCAGGTGTCGGCACAAAGTTTGAAGTCTGCAATCGAAGCCATAAGGGGACGCCAATCAGTTATTGACCAAGGTTGTGGTTTGTTCCTTTGCTTCCAAGCAATGTAGTTGGCTGAATATATTTTGTACGTGTGATTCTTGTGACACGTCAGTGCATCGTTAATCCATATGGGTCCTGTCGTTTCTTTGGCAAAATGAGTTCTAGAGTGTATTATCGCATGTTGTCTTTTCAAGTTGTGGGGATAGAGTATTGAGACTTTGGTTTTGTTTCAGATCCTGAAGGGAAGTATGAAGCATTGGAAAAATATGGAAAGGACTTGACAGCCATGGCAAAAGAAGGAAAGCTTGACCCTGTGATTGGAAGAGACGATGAAATACGTAGGTGCATCCAGATTCTCTCGAGAAGAACAAAGAACAACCCCGTACTAATTGGTGAGCCTGGCGTTGGGAAAACTGCAATTTCAGAGGGGTAAGTTGTTGGGTGTGTGTGGGTGCGTGTGTGTATGTGTTTTAATATTTTACTTATAAGTTCTTGAATTATTTAGACCCTTTTTTTGATGGGGTGGGGGGGAGTTGATCTGCTAGATTGGTTTATTTTCTCGATCTCTCCTATATGTATGTGTGTACATGCATCTAATGTAACCTCTTTGACAGGCTTGCTCAAAGAATTGTGCAAGGGGATGTCCCACAAGCTCTGATGAACCGCAAGGTGTGTATTATATTAGACAGTCTAACTAACTTCTGCTTGTGGTTGAGTGTCTGAGGATCACGGGCTTTTTTGTGATTATAGGTGGATTCCGGATGTTCATCTAACCCACTTTCTCTTTGCAGCTAATATCCCTTGACATGGGTGCACTAATTGCTGGCGCAAAATATCGGGGAGAATTTGAGGATAGGCTGAAGGCAGTACTGAAGGAAGTAACGGACTCGGAGGGCCAGATTGTCCTCTTTATTGATGAGATTCACACAGTTGTTGGTGCAGGTACTATTGAGTTGATTTTAGTTTTATGATTGTCGAAAGTAAATACCAAATTTTCAAATATTGCATTTTGTTTTTTGAAATCTTTGATAAATTCAATTCCAAGAATCCTGATAAGTTATTATCTTTTCTGTTTCAGGTGCTACAAATGGTGCAATGGATGCAGGCAATCTTTTGAAGCCTATGCTTGGCCGAGGAGAATTAAGGTGTATTGGTGCAACAACGCTGGATGAATATCGCAAATATATCGAGAAAGATCCAGCATTGGAGCGTCGTTTTCAGCAAGTTTATGTTGATCAACCTTCCGTTGAAGATACCATATCAATACTTCGGGGATTGCGCGAGAGATATGAGTTGCATCATGGAGTCCGCATATCTGATAGTGCTCTTGTTGACGCTGCGATTCTCTCTGAACGTTACATCAGTGGGAGGTTTTTACCTGACAAAGGTAATATTCATACACTCCACTTATGGTATAACCAATGGTTTTAGATTGATGTTTGATTTTGTTAATAAGCTGTTGATAGATTAAGAAATTTAGTAATTTTAAATATTTGTAAAAAGTTTGTCTTTAATTTGGGTGTCTACACAATTTTGTAATTTGTACTTGTGCTATCATATGCTTCTTGTTCTTATTGCCTTCCTTTTGTTGATTTAAGCTCATTTAGCAGGCACGGAGTATATTATAGGCTACCACTTTAATATTAATGACATAAAATACTTCGTGTGAGGCTCAGAGTTGGGTAATTGAAATTATATATGCCTTCAATCTAGTTGACTTAGATATTATGGCTCCACTCTGCTCCTTACACTGCGTGCTTATTTACCTTTCATTGCAGCTATCGACCTGGTTGATGAAGCAGCAGCTAAACTGAAAATGGAAATCACTTCAAAACCCACTGCCCTTGATGAGATCAATCGATCCGTATTGAAACTTGAGATGGAAAAGTTATCTCTCATGAATGACACGGACAAAGCTTCTAAAGACAGGTTGAGCCGCCTCGAGGCAGAGTTATCTCTTTTAAAGGAGAAACAAGGTCAGTTGACTGAGCAGTGGGAGCATGAAAAGTCTGTTATGACTCGCCTTCAGTCGATCAAAGAAGAGGTATTTAAAATGTTATCTTGTTGATCAAGTTTGTTCTTTGTTACATATCAATGCATGTTCTCATAACCGAAGGGAAAGCGAATATGTTTTTACAGGAATTAGACGTATCATGAATTAGAAGATAGAAGATTATGCCTGGAGAAGTGTTCGGGTATTAAATAACTGTTTCGTTTTCTGTGTGTAGATCGACAGGGGAAAGCGAATATGTTTTTACAGGAATTAGACGTATCATGAATTAGAAGATAGAAGATTATGCCTGGAGAAGTGTTCGGGTATTAAATAACTGTTTCGTTTTCTCTGTGTAGATCGACAGGTTAAACCTTGAGATCCAGCAGGCTGAGCGGGAGTATGACCTTAATCGCGCTGCCGAATTGAAGTACGGGAGTCTGAACTCTTTGCAGCGGCAACTTGCAGTGGCAGAAAAAGAATTAGACGAATATATGAAATCAGGGAAGTCTATGCTGAGAGAGGAAGTCACTGGGGATGACATTGCTGAGATTGTATTCCTGTGTCCAAGCTTAAACAGTCAGAAAGGGAAAAACTGCTGCACTTGGAGGAAGAGCTGCACAAACGTGTTGTGGGCCAGGACCCCGCAGTGAGAGCCGTCGCCGAGGCCATCCAACGATCTCGAGCAGGGCTATCGGATCCTCACAGGCCGATTGCTAGCTTCATGTTCATGGGTCCCACTGGTGTCGGGAAGACAGAACTAGCCAAGGCCCTGGCTTCCTACTTGTTCAACACAGAAGAAGCACTTGTGAGAATTGACATGAGCGAGTACATGGAAAAACATGCTGTGTCAAGATTGATTGGCGCCCCACCAGGTTATGTCGGATACGAGGAGGGAGGACAGCTGACGGAGACTGTTCGTCGGAGGCCTTATTCTGTTATCCTGTTTGATGAGATAGAGAAGGCACACTCCGATGTGTTCAACGTCTTCCTTCAAATTTTGGATGATGGAAGAATCACAGACTCGCAGGGTCGCACTGTGAGCTTCACCAACACCGTCATCATCATGACATCAAATGTGGGTTCACAGTATATTCTCAATACAGATGACGAAACCTTATCAAAGGAGTTGGCTTATGAAACCATAAAGCAACGGGTAATGGAGGCCGCAAGATCTATCTTTCGGCCCGAGTTCATGAACCGTGTAGACGAGTACATAGTTTTCCAGCCCCTGGACCGCGAGCAGATCAACAGCATCGTCACATTACAGGTAAATTTTCCCCTCAAATATGGCATGTGTTTTCTTTATATCATGTTCAAACTTCTTTTTTAACACGTTGCTCGTGATTTTTGTTACTGCTACAGTTGGAACGAGTGCAAAAGAGAATTGCAGATCGGAAAATGAGAATCATCGTGAGCGATGCTGCTGTGCAGCTTCTCGGAAGCCTCGGCTATGATCCGAACTATGGTGCTAGGCCTGTGAAGAGAGTGATTCAGCAGAATGTTGAGAATGAGCTTGCCAAGGGCATATTGAGAGGAGATTTCAAGGAAGAGGACACTGTATTGATCGACACCGAAGTCACAGCCTTCTCTAATGGCCAGCTTCCCCAGCAAAAGCTAGTCTTCAGGAAGCTGGAGAGTGGTTCAGAATCTCAAGCTGCTGAAGATCAAGAGGCTTTCTCAGGGACTGTATGATATTCTCTTTGTATTTAGCTTCCCGAAACACTAAAAATAGGTTTTAACATAAAATTTTGGATTAAATGTCGTTACTTTTGGTTATATATAGAAAGTTCTTGTTTACGGCTTGTTTAATTCTTTTCTTGAGCTATTATTGAATGCATTCTCTCTTGTGATCTGTGATTGCACACGGCTTAATAGTAATTAGCAACCTGGATGAGGTGTAATTAGTAAATTAATTTATGAATGGAATTTCAAAACTAAATTAATACTATTGTGTACGTTAAAGTGAAATAATTCATTCTCGTTCTTTTCCCCAATATTTATGGCGATTTTATTTGTTGTCTCTTACTGCTGTAACTGTTGCTAGTAGTCTAGTTCTTTTTTTTTCTCTGAATTGCTAATGTTCTAGTTGAAGACGAGAAAATTACGTCTGTTTAGGCAGACTTATTTGATTAAAAAAAAAAAAACTTTGATGGATGTCGTTTACGCAAATAGAGAGCGGGAGAAATGATATGTTGTCTCTTTGACAGCCGACAGTAATCTAAACTTTCAAGATGAAAGCGACGTGCGTTGTGAACTTTAAGATAAAAAAATGTCGTTCTTCAGGAAGAAAAAACGCAAAGTTTTAGACCAGGTCTTTTCTCCTTAAAAAGGAAAAAAAAAACCCACAACTTGAAATGACCTATCTCTCCTTTTAATAAAATGAAATGACTTTTTTTTTTCTTTCTGAATATTCATATTGTTGATGTGTTTCCACTTTTCACATAAACCATCTATAGTTCCTCTTATTTATGTTATTCTAATAATACCGTGCGACATTAATTAAAAAATTATGGCAATTTAAATACACATTAGCTGACACAATATAATTTTATTATAGGGGTAAAAAGGGAACACAAATAAAAAAACATATGAGTTCAATACTCCTATTGTTAACACAAGTCACATGAAATCAAAAGCCTAAATAGCCTAAATGACCAATCCTTATACACACACATATATCTATATCCATAAAGATTCCTCATGATTCGCATAAGAACAAAAGTTATTCTATTTAGATCATCACAATTCGCAAGAGGTCCAATCCTATATTATATAATTGAACAATCTAGAAGTTTAATCGTTTTCAACTAAAGTAAAGTTATTATTTTCAGGTCCAATCCTATATTATATAATTGAACAATCTAGAAGTTTAATCGTTTTCAACTAAATGTAAAGTTATTATTTTTCTTTTTTGTTGACATGCAGAGTTCATGTTTAACTCCAAGATCAAAGCCATTAAAAAGAAAAAGAAAAAGAAAAATCCCTTCAATTGATGGATATTTTATGGGGATATATAGATAGATATGTTTTTAGAATATTTGGACACCTTTTCGTCTCACTCAACTGATGGGCGATGTGTCTTAGGCTAGCGTACTCGCCTTAGGGTTCAGGGCCCGGACTTGCATGATCTTCTTTTTTTCTTTTTTTTTTTTTTTAATAGAATTTACACGAGCATTTACAGTTAAATAAAATTTTCTTATATTTAATTTAAAATATCTGTTTGAATCATGAAATCATCATTTATATAAAAGAGTTAGTGATGGCGCTGCTGTGATTTTACCAAATGAAATTCTAGCCATGCAAGTTAACATTCCTCGTAGAGATACGTACATGCGAGTTTGATGCTATACATCTAGTATCTACATCTTCGAAGGAAAATTATTTCAATATTTTAAGTGTAATATTGTCGTTGTATTTATATTTTATGAATGTTTAATTGTCGCAGCTCCAAATCTTTCCTTATTGATACATTTGCTAATAAAGTACATCCAATTAAATCTTGAAACGAATAAGTTTTACTTCTTATGCCTTTCGAAATTACAATAAAAACGAAATACCGAAAAGTAAAAAATATTAAAGGAAGTCACATAATCATGTACCAAGTACAGCAAGAAAGTATCACAAAATCTTGTATAAACAAAATTAAAAGACTCATTGAAAAAACTGTATAACACTTTAATCTCTAATTTGATCCTTTACGTTTTGAAACATCTTTTAATTAACTTTAGTTTTCCTTATTTTGATATTTAGATCTATTTAATGAGGTATTATAATGTGATTAATTAGACACTAATTAAGATACTAAAAATTAAACAAATGATTTGAATCTGCAGAGGAGGTTTTTTTTTTTTTTTTTTTTAGGTTGCTGATTCGTAGACTGAAATTTCTTCGGAATTCTGGAGTCTTAAAATTCCACTGATGGGAAGTTTCCATGCAATTCCCAAAACTATACGTTTGCCGAAAAGAGAGACATTCTTCCTTGGCCTTGGGGATTATTATTATTATTATTATGATCATCATCATCATCATCATCATTATTATCATCATTATTATCATCATCATCATTATTATTATTATTATTATTATTATTATTATTATTATTATTATTATTATTATTAATAACAGTGTAGCTTAGTAGATGGGCTCAACGGTTATTGAGTAAGACAAACTAAAAAGCTCTATTAATTTTGATTATTTTTCTAACCAATTTAGCCAGCAGTTTAATTGTTACTTCATTTTCTATAATTGACAGGACCAAGAGTAGGCACTACATTTTTTTTTTTTTTTTTTGGGAAGGACTAGATCTGCGTTTCTGAAAACGATTTAATGGCATCGGAGTAAAATTTCTCCTACAAGAACAAACTTGTGTACATCGCTAGCTCCAAGAAATTAATTAATTATACACATATATATATTCAGCTTGTTAGATCATACAGAACAAGTCAGCCGGTAGAAGACCGCATTATCTATGACAGCTGATGGAGACTTTTTTTAATACGTGCAACGTTAACATCGCCTGGACGAAATCTTTTATATAGATCAACTAGATTTCGATCAGCCAAGCAAAAGAGGTTTATCACAAGCTTGGGCTTACAAAGGGGCTCCCCAATTACTCCAATTCAGTTTTGAAACATATTAATGGCGGCGGGCTTGCCAAAGTGGCTGACAGAGAGTGATGTAAAAAGCAAACTGTCAGTTCCTAGGGATTGGTGGGAGATAATTAGGCCGCTTTTCGGGGAAGAACTAGACCGCCGCCATGAGATCGAGCTGTGGGCGGTCGATGGCGTCGGGATGTTCTGGGAGTTCCGGTGCGCCGTCCGACAGAAAGGGCGTTACAAGAAGCCAGTTCTTCAGTCTGATGGTTGGCTCAAGTTTGTCAACTACAAGGGGCTTGAAGTTGGGGACATAGTCATTCTTGAGACAGTTGAGAACCGATTCCGAGGTACGAGGTTTCTGCTTAGAGCTCTCAAGTATCACGCTGGTGGTCACTACTGGTTTGACGTGTAGCCATTAATGTGTTTGTGTGTTACTATATAGTTGTCATGTTCAGCGACTGTCGTACGTTGTTACTTTTCCTATTTTGGGACGTATTGTTGTTGTTGTTGTTGTCGTCGTTCTTGTTCTCGATGGCAGTCCTACTTGAAATTACTTGAGAGTCCTTTTAGTGCTTTTAGAATTTTATGTGAGGGAGCTACCATGCATGCTCTTTTTGGTTAAGTAATCTCTTTCCTAGTACAACATATTATTATTATTATTAATGATGGATTATTTGTGTTTGGTTTCCCTTTTGGTGACAGGCAGCGAACAAATTAAAGAAGAAAAGTAAAGGAAGAAGAGAAACAGACAAAGATTTTTAACATATTTTGGAAATAATATGCAGAGAATAGAAAAAGTTCATTTAGACTCATGTTTTAACATACTTTGATTTTCACATATAAGTACATGCTACGACAGAAGTAGGCCTAAGGTTTATTATGAGTTATCCTTTTTTTTTTTTTTTTTTTTTTTGTTTGGAAGGATATTTTAACCTATTCATTCCGGGAATTCACTAATTTTTAGTTTGGTCTTCTTTGATGATCATAAACATTACGGCCAAAAACAAAATAGTGAAAAAAGGGGGAAATATGTATCTGATTTAAATGCCAAGAAAGCTAATTATTAAAAACGGTTAAAATTGAAAATGCCAAAAGAAAGAAGTACAACAATATGTTAAATCCAAGGCCACGCAAGAAACTGCGCTTTCAGGGCTTCGCTTAATAGCAGTCCTTAACCCCAGTAAATCGTCACGCTCGAGCAAACCCAAAATATACGTTTGTTCTTTTGGTTTCTTTGCGATTTCATGTATATAAACAGTAACTGTTTAGGTAATCTAATGGCTTAGTTTAGTAGTGCTGTAGATTTAAAAAAAATTACTTTTAGTTATGTTGAAGGAAGAAACAATTGTTACAAAAATAGCTGAGTGTTTAGTAAATTATAATTATAATAGCTGTGCTGGTTCTAAAATCAGTATTATAACGTTTGGTAAATTATGAGATTAAATTGCTGTGGATAGTTAAAAATTACGACTATATTATATTATACTATAATATAGTATATATATATATATAATTACAATATAATATATATTTATTATTATATTTAATATAATA